CGGAATCATTTTAAATGCCGTACTGGAAGATCCTAATGGATACTACAACCCATGGCAAAAAATGTTGTATACAGGTCCAGATCTTCGTATAGCCCCCATATAACTGTACCTTCCGATAGTCGGTATTTTGACGATTTCAGCTACATTATTCACCGAAATCGTTTCAAATTCCGTATTGAAAGATCTTAATGGGTACTACAAGCTAAGAGAGAAAAATGTCTGTGCAGGTCCACGTCTTCGTATAGTCCCCATATAACGGTTTTCATTTAAGTGGTAGTTTTCGGTTTTTTTAATATTTCAAGTTCCTTCGAAATGGTGGAGGGTATTAAAAGTTCGGCCCGGCCGAACTTAGCTGCTTTTTTACTTGTTGCAAAAGAGAATACAACTTTTCTATGCAGGAAAAGAAACAAATTAAATTTTCGGATATGAAAATATGGTAGAATGGTTTGATCCGATATGATGAATTTAAATAAGTGTTTTTTCGGAAATTATACGAATTTATTGTAAAATAGGTATTATCCTTAGAATTTGATATCCAATTTCTCACCGTGTACCATTTGCCTTTTTCAAATAAAACGTTGCGCAAAATTTGATTCTAATTTAATTTAGTGGTTCTTTACTTTTTTTTGAAATTTTATTTTATTTTTTTTTCGGCTACTTGGCTTTTCTAATGCAGAAATTATTTTTAATTCAAACTTTTTTTCGAACGTTGCGATAAAATTTATTTTACATTTTATTGTTGTTGTTGTTGCTGCTGTTATGAACCAATGACACAGTGAGCAGAAGTTGAAATAGATGTACGAAAATAAAAATACTTGAAGAAATTCTTGCATTCCTTGCAAAAAAAATAGAAAAAAACAATTAAAAAGAAGAAGAAGCGAAGACAACTTAAAGAAAAACAAGCGAAAGGAGAAGGAGGATGATGAGACAAAAAAGTGAAAACAAGATGAAAAAAAAGCTGCAACTAAAACAATTGATGGCGAAATTGTGAAAGGAGACGAAATAAAAAAACAACACAATGATCTACATATACACATGCAAAACGAATGTACATGTGTGTTGTATATCCCTTATGTACTTTATTTATATCGGTATATAGGAATACATTGATCGTCCGCAGTTTGTTTATAATACCCCAAAAAAGACAACAGCAACACCAACAATTTGTAATGCTTTTTAGCATCGCACTGCCTGTCACCATAGCTCATGCTGTTGGTAATCATGACAGCCGAAAAACTGTTGACAGATGATTAGGCAATTTTTGCACTTTTTCCTTTGGCTGCGCTCTGTTGACATTTACATTACAAACAGCCACCCACCCGATCCCTTGTCTGTTGTAGCACCCCTTTGGTTGGCGTTGATATTCTAATGATCTCTTGACAGAAAGGCAAACGTCCACCCATTTGGTCCTTTACCCCTCTCCCACTCCCTCTCTCTCACACACTTGTTATTATATACACCGCTTCTTTATTGGCAATCTGTCACTTTCGACTTTTTGTTTTTTTTTCCCCAACACTTTCTCTCTTTCCACTTTCGACTGCCACGAGAGGAGCGTTGAAATTATTTATAGCCATTCTGTTCTTGTTCATGTTTCATGAGGACACCGAATATTTCCCAACATTAACCTTGTTTGTGGCGTGGCGTGGCGTGGCATGGCGTTTCTTCATGCTCAGAGATTAATGAATTTATAATTTTATGCCGCGGCCTCGTCAAGGTAACGTCCAGTAATTAGACGTGAAAACATCAAACGTGTTGTCAAGACGAAGAAACAACAAAAACAGATAATTTTTTTGTTGATAAACAAAGTGAAGGTATGGTTTTCTTTATTTTGGCAAGCGATTGGGAATTTAGCAACCCACTGTGCAAATTTATGAATTACTGTATGAGTGTGAGAGAGAATGTTTGGGAGAGGAGTCATTGTTTTGTTTTGGATTGGCAATGATGTGTTGATAGCGGCGACATCTGTTGGTTATTAATTTGAAATCAATAAAAAATGATTGTTTTGAATTTAAATTTTTATTAATTTAATTGAATAAAAAGAGGAGAATAAAAAAAAGAAAGAAAAGATGAGAAAAAATCAAAAAAAAAAAATTATTTAAATATTTTCGAAATATTTCACATAAATTTATTTTAATTTAAACATATTTGTTATAAAAATTATTTTCAGTAATATTAAAAAATATAAATATTAAAAAAAATAAATATTAAAAAATAAAAAATATAAATAATAAAAAAGTAATATTAAAAAATATAATTTTCAACGATTTTCAATAAAAAAAAAAACTTTCAATAGTTTTTAATAAAAAAAATATTTTTAAATTAAAAAAAAAAATATTGTAAATATTTCGAAATAGTAAGTAAATATCATATTTTTTAATTTTTATATACAAACAATTTTTATATCGTTATAATAAAATAAATAAAAAGAAGAACACTTATTCTAATATAAATAATTTTATTTATTTCAATTTTTATTAATTTAATTGAAATAAAATTGAATGAAAAATTAAAAAAAAACTGGGTTTTTAGAAATTTTTAAAAGATTTTATAATAATTAACAATATTATATGGATTTTAAGTATATTTAATTTAAACATATTTAAAAAAAATCATTTTAAGTTTAAAACTATATATATATTTTTGAGCTTTTAATTAAATTATTTTCATTAATTTTTAATAAAAAATATTTTCAGTTTTTTTTTTTAATAAAAAACATTTTAAAATTAAATATGCTGAAAATAAAATAAATAAAAAATATTGTAAATATTTAGAAATAGTAATGACCATATTTTATAATTTTTTATACAAAAAATGTTTATATTGTTATAAAAATAACATTAAAAAGGTTAAACAAATATTTTTTTTATTAATTAAAAGAAAGGTAAAACTTAAAAAATGATATTGAAACCTTTTCAAAATATTTCATAGCAATTTACAATATTTTTTTGATTCTTAGTATATTAAAGTTTAACATATTTGTTATTAAAAATCATTAAATATTTTAACAATTAAAAAAAAATAAAAAAATGGTATTTTAATATTATCGATCTATGTCCTAAGAATTTAATTAATTTTCTATAGATTTTTTGCATATTTACTATTTTTTATAAACAATTTTTAAAACTAAAGTTCAAAAATATATTCAGTGTGAGTTAAAAAAAAAAACTGCAACAAAGTCAAACGCCATAATTTTTACATTTTTTTTAAATTTTATTGAATGAAAGCAAAAATGTTGGAAATGGCATAAAATTTTAGAATGAGTTTAGTTTTTTTCCAATTGGTCACCTTTGGCACGAATTATGGCCTTCAAACGTCCAATGAAACCGTCAAATGTTGCTCTGCGGTATTTTGGCCCATTCCCGGCGAAGCGCTTGCTTGAGGTGATCGACACTTTGGTATTTTTTAGCGCCAACCTTGCTTTCCAAAATACTCCAGACACAATAGTCCAACGGATTGGTATCCGGAGATTTTGGTGGCCATTGTGAGCTGGAAATGTAGTGAGGAACCTAATTTTGTATTCGTTCTTGGGTGGCGCGTGCGGAGTGTGATGGTGTCCTGTTGGAATGTCCAAGGTCTGCGGACAAAATATTTGCGTTCTCAAGGCTTTAATACACCCTCCAGAATATTGTCAGTTATATTATTTATTTAATACGAGTGTAGAGCGGCCATCGGCTGTTATGGCGGCACACACCATCACCATTGCCGGCGTTTGAATTCTGGTGGCCAACCAAAGGTGCACATTTTCAGCTGACGTCTTTGGCGAGTAAACACGCATGTTTTCTCATCGGAGATAACCAAATTCGGCAGTTCACCACTTTCGGTAAAGCGAAGCAACTCTTTAGCTCTTTTGAGTCTGTTTTCTTTCTGTTGCGGTGTAAGTTCTTGCACTTTTTGGAATGGAATTTCAATGGCTTTACCCCGAGCTCATTTTTCAATATTTGCCGAATGGAATATTGCGATATGTTCAGCTCAAGAGCCGTTTTTCGGCCACTGGGACGCGGGTTTCGATCAAGTAGCTTCTTTACTTTTCGAACCATTTCTGCTGATGTTGCTGTTTTCTTCCGTCCACTTCCTTGATGTCGGGCTACGCTACCAGTATCACGGTAGCGATCGATGGGCGATGGTATTTATAGATTTATTCACATTTAAATGCTGGAGTGCTCTAACGATAGCCACCTGTGGTTTTCCAGCTGTGGTTTGGTATATGACTATTGAGGTCTGTGTTGGCATCTTGAGTTGAGATATGGAGGAGGTTCAGGAAATGTGTACTACAAGTGCAGGAAAAGTACTAAATAGTACTATATTTAGTACCATTTCATATTGGCGAGCATATGGTGTTTGACATCTGAAATTTGATATTCTGTTCATGTGAAGCCTGGTGATATGGAGGTGGTTTCGGAAGTTTGTATTACAATTGTACGAAAAGTACTAAATGGTATTAAATTTGGTCTTGGTTGAGGGGATAAATATGAAATTCCGAAATTTAATGTTAAGATAATTGTTGGTATCTGAGGTAGAGAGAACCATGTTGATTTGGAAATGTGTCCTATATTTGTACGAAATGTACCAAATGGTACTAAATTTGGTTTTGGGTGAGGGAATCTAGCTGAAATCCCTAGAGATAATTGTACCAAAAGTACTAAATGGTACTGAATTTGGTCTTAGTTGGAGGGATAGAAATACAATTCTGAAATTTAATGTATAGATAGTTGTTGGTATCTGAATTAAAAAAAGGATGTGGGTTTGGAAAAGCGTCCTACATTTGTGCGAAAAGTACTAAACAGTACTGGCTGAAGGAATAGGGCTGAAATCCTCAAATTTGATATTAAGATCTCTGTTGACATCTGGAATTGAGATATGGAGGTGGTTTTGGTATTGGTCCGATTTGAAGCCCCACGCATCAAATAAAATGCAACGTGTTTCACCGTTGGTTAAGCGACTCATATTAGATAAAATTTTAGAACAATTTTCACGAGTATGGCAATAATGGTTCTTAAAAGTTGATTTATCGGACTCAAGCTCAATTTAAAACCCAGAAATTCTCACGCTCTCTTTAAAATTCACATTTGAAACAAATGTCAACGGAATTAAAATATAGTTTTTTTTTTATTGAAATTTCTGTGTTGAAAAATTCTTCTTAAATTCTGTCTCCATTGAAGCATTTCCTCCAAGTTGTCAGATGTCAAATTCAACTACAGAACGTTGTGTCATTTGTTTGGATGAGAAACGGGAACCTATCAACATCTCCTGTGGCCATTCGTTTTGTAAGGAATGTTTTGGAATTTATAAAGGTTATCGGAAATATAATTGGGGTCGGAAATGTCCGATATGTCGTAGGGAACTGAAGCCCAAAAAACGGGATGTAAGTAGATTTCGTTCCAAAAAAAAAAAAAAAAAAAAAAAAAAAAAAAAATGGAGATAAACCTTTTTATTCTCTCTCTCTCTCTCTCTTCTAACCTTTCCACATGCTGCGTTGGGTCTAGTCCAAAATTGGCATAAACTCGTCACTTGACTCCAATCCCTCATCCTCTGCAGAATCGCTCAACAATTCAATGGCTACGAATTTATTAATGGAACATTTCATATCAATTGCCTCCAATGATACACTCAATACCTCAAATGCAAGTAGAGATCAAATTGCATTGGATGTCACCAATCCAATACCAAACTCAGAAACCGATTCAATGGAAATTTATGACAATGATGGCGATGATTTTGAAAACTATTTCAGTGACTCAGAAGAAGATGGAAATGACGATGATGCCATTTATGGTTTTGAGGAAAACTTATCGTGGAATGAACATTTCGAAGAGGATATAAACGTGGAACCAGAAGATTCCTATATTGCTCACAACGAGAGTTGGTATAGTACGGGTAGTGGCCAAGTTGATAATTTCAATGCCTCATCAGATGATTCGAAAATATATTTAGATTTAGACAATCAAACTTAAATAATGGCAAAAGGGAGGTGTTTTTTTTTTTGATTTTCGAAGGTGATTTAATGGTGAAAAGTCGATGTTTTCGTTGTTGACATTTCAAATTAAAGTCGATTCTAGATTTTTTGACGTTTGGTAGGCATCATGGTACAATTACTAAGGTAATCTCATGCAATCATATGATTACAATTTTTTTTATTTGATGTCCATAAATTGTAGACTGCATATTTTGTTGTTCTTCCTTAAATATGAGCGTACCCTGGCAAGAAATTTAGATTAATTTCCTACCAGATATTCTGTCATTTTAGAGGGCATAAACGTCAAGGAATAATGAAATTTAAAACAGAAAAGTAAAATATTAGCTTCAGAGGTCATGTAAAGCTTGATTATGGAATAATTGAATTTTGCTATGTAAAGGGTTGCCATATTCGAATTAGCAAATGAGTCTACTTCTGTTATTTTGTCATGCCTCATATGTCATACTAAATTTTCAGGCTTTCAAGGTTTTATACATTTTTCAAGTTTTGCCTTTTTCGGAAAGAATAACTGGAAAACGCTTACTTTTCACACTAGTGTTCAAAATCGTTTTGAGGTTTACCCTGGAGGATGTTAGTAACATAATTTCACAATGGACCCACATTCAATTTTTTTTTTCGTTCAAAACTATTTCAATTCTGCATATGTAAACCCTAAAAATCAACAGTGACCTCAAAATTAAAAAAGTTTTTACAAAACCACCACTTAATACAGCAGAGACCTCAAAATATCAAATTTTGTTATTCTAGCTCTATCCCTTTACCCAATACCCAATTTAGTGCCACTTGACCTAAAAATATCAAATTTTGTGATTCCAGCTCTATCCCCTCACCCAATACCAAATTTAGTACCTTTTAAAAAATTATAGCACACATTTCCAAAAGCACCTCCATTTCTTAACCACAGACACCAACAGTGACATCTACTCAATTTTCAAGATGTCAGCACTATTCCTCCAACCAATACCAAATTTAGTACTTTTCGAACAATTATAATACACATTACCAAAACCACCTTCATATCTTAATTCCTGATGCCAAAAGAGATCTCAATATCAGATATCCATTTAGTACCACTTAGTACTTTTCGAATAATTATGGTACAAATTTCCAAAAGCACCTCCATTTCTTAACCATAGACACCAACTGTGACATCTATATCTAATTTCAGAATTTCAGCTCCATTACCAAATTTAGCTCTTTCTCTCATCCACAGACACCAACATTGACACCCATATCAGATTTCAGAATTTCAGCTCTATCCCATCACCCAAAACCCAATTTTGTTCTATTTCGTAAATTATAGCATACATTTCCAAAAGAACTTCCATATCTTAATTCCAGTTACCAACATAACATTTCGGGATTCCAGCTCTACTCCTTCACTCAATACAAAATTACGTACAATTTAGTACTTTGCGAACACCTATAGTACGCATTATCAAACCCATCTCCAAGTCTCAACATTAGATATCAACATTGAATTTTTCAGAATTTTATCTCTATTCCTTTAATCAATATTAAATTTGGTACTATTTAGTACTTTTCGTACAATTCCATAACCACAAACATATGTCAAGGCTATCCATGAACAGCGACCCTAATACAAAATTTCAAACTGCAAACACTATCTGTTCACCCAATTACAAATTGTACCAAATTGAGTACAATTTAGTAATTTTCGTACACCTATCAAAAATCAACTTTAATTCTCAGACGTACCACCAACAGGAATGCCAATACCAAAACTTCGAAAATCCGGCTCGTCCCGTTTACCCTAAACCAAACTGTTTCAAATTTAGTACAGTTCGGACATTTTTTGTGTACTAAACTTTTCAAAAAACCACGTTCATATATATAAAATTTATTTCCCAACCTGGATTCTTGAGCTAAACAATTAGGCTTGCGATTTCTAAATTAAAAAAGTTTTAAAACTGTTTGGACAAAATAATTCACCGGAAGGAGAAGAAGAAGAATTGCAAGTCTTTGCAAGTAGAAATTTGTCTAGAAAGAATTTTCAACTCTCAAAAAGAGAACTGTCAAAATCTCTCTCTAGGATCCCTCTCTTGCAGCACTTTTGCGTTAACAGACAACTTCTGAGTAAAATTTTGTTACGATTTGAAACATTTTTGAAAACTTTATCCTAAAGTTTGTAACAATTTGCAAAAATTGTTACAAACTTTAGGATAAACATACACACCTATTAATGAAAATAATCCTATTTATAGTTTTCAAAAATATTTCAAATCGTAACAAAATTTTACTCAGACATTTCCGGATTTTTACTCAGACATTTCCAATTAAAAATATCCACCATTTGAGTGCTTACAACAATTTGTGGCCGTTCGCTCTGTGTGACTCTGTGGTCAAGGTATTATGTCTTTGTACATTTGTTTGTAACATAGAGAAGGAAGCGAGATAGACCCATAGTGCATTATGATGATCTACATAGAATCACATTCTGAGTTGGTTTGTGGATGTCCGTCCGTCTGTCCATTTATTTTTGTAAACAAAGTACAGGTCGCATTTATGGTCCGATTCAGATTCCGATTTGTTTGGCCCAAGGACGAACCCTGTCGGAATTGGTGATAATCGGATCAGATTTGGATATAGCTCCCATATCCGTTGTCGTCAGATTTCATAAATATTGTGCACCAATTGGGTATTATCATTCCGAATCAAATGAACTTTAGCAGACATGACCAAACTTAGTCCAAAAGTATGTCTGGCAATTTTTTGTGAATATCGATTCAGATTTAGATATAGCTCCCATATATTTTTTCTTTCGATTTTATTGTGCCCCGCGTGATTAATATTCGTCCAAATGGAATGGATTTCGGTACATCTGAGCGAATTCAGCCTACAAGCAAATTCTTCAAATTTGGTAAAAATCGATTCGACTTGTGATTTAAGTCCAAATATATTTATACATACCAAAACAATGATAAGATTGAGCCAGGTATAAAATCAACTACAGAAATACCTCAAATATTATGGAGAAAGGTTTAGATTTGGATATAGCTTTCATATGTATCTTTAACCGATTTCGGGTTAATTGTGCACCAAATGACCAATAACTGTCCAAAGGTCCGGAATTTTGGTACATTCGACCGAATGCAGTCTAGAAGCAAGTACATCGAATTCGGAGAAAATTGGTTTAGATATGGCTCCCATATATATGTTTCATCCGATTGGGTCTTTAAGTCCCTCACAATCATGTTTTGCATTCGACAACAACGATATTTGGTACCAGATATCTTTTAAAGTTCTATAATTTTATCGAGATCGGCTAAGATTTGGATGTAGCTCCAATGTATATCCTTAATCCGATTTCAGGTTTATTTTGCAAATAATGCCTAATATTTGCCCAAATGCAGAATTTCGGGACGTACGTTTCCATCTTGTGGAGCTAAGCTCCTATAATTTTTTTTAATATAATACTTCTCGAAGTGATGTATAAAAGATTAAAATGTCTAGGGTGTGGTGTAGCGTATCATATAGTCGCCCCCGCTCAACTTTTGACGTTTCTTTACTGGTTTGTTTCTTTTCTTTTGGTTTTCTTGCCATAATCTTTTTTTTTTTTGCTCTTCTCATTGTTCAATATTTTTGTTTCCAATGCATTTAATCTCATTTTAGTGATTTGAAGACATTTGCGTTACAGAAGGTAAGTTCAAATACCCTTAAAACTATGCTGGAGATCCAGAATTCTATTGAATATGCATCCTGGTAAAAACAATATTCAATAAAAATGAGTTTAATATTTTAAATCTCTTCAATCAACATTCTTTACCTTTCAATCCGAGTTCGACGTATTGCAAACATTTTATAAGGATTACAAAAAAAAAATTTAAATCTCTTGAAAACTTATGATGATTAACAAATTCCCTCAATCCTCTTGCAGGCATTTGATATTTTAGTTGTTAATAAGGATTTTAAATCAGAAGCCAGCGATTCGGTTACCCTGCAACGTGGTGATATTGTTGAGGTTCTCAAAACTTCTTCCGAAACGACGACGTCGACGACGACTGAGAGTAGTAGTTTAAAAAAGTAGGTGGTCTCTCTCTCTCTTCGTATAAAAGAAAAACTAAATTAATTGACTTCTTAATTTCTAGAGGTGTTCATGACAGTGATAAAACAGCCAAATGGTTAGTGCGCGTATTCGGTGACAATGCCAAAGAGGGTTGGGTGCCGCGTGACATTTTGGAGGATAGTTCTGTGTCGTCAATGCTGAATGGCAACGATAAAGAAAGTGCCGAATTACAAAAGAAGTATGTATGATGATATGCCGTTATCACGCTATTTTTCATTTATCCTTGTCTTGCTCCTTCTCGCTTACTTTCATTTCGCTCCATGAACAGAAAAAAAAAAACAAAAACATGCATGCATGCCATTCATTTTGCTTTTTGCGCTATTTCCCATTTTTTTCATTCGTTCGTCAATGCCTCTTTTCATTTCACTGATAATAATATCGTTCTCTCTCTCTCTCTCTCTCTCTTCCTCTTCTAATGTTTTGTTTCGTTCAATTTTAGGGCCGTTATACGAGAACTTTTAGATACTGAGGAGGAGTACGGTAGAGATTTACAAAATGTTGTAGATCGTTATATCAAGGCCGTTGATAGTGCCACAGCACCGAGGACCGTGCGTGATAGTAAGGATATCATATTTGGTAATTTCCAACAAATAGCCGAATTTCACAATAAGTAAGTTGCCGTTTTGTTGTTATCTTCATTTATTTGTAGTCGCTTTTAATTTCATTCTGCTTCCATTTCGCTTTCTTCATATTTATGAGGATTATTACTCTTCGTGATCACAATTAATGCGTTTGACGTTATGTGTGGGTATTATCGATAGCAAAGTCGGAAGGAATGTAAAGTGAATTTTTTGAGAAAGACGGTAGTAGAATAACTTAAATATTGTCAGCAATGTCAGCTCACAATTTGACTTTTCATTGCAGCCAACTTTGCATGTGTTATTATTTGTCTGCGTTGCCAACTGATGAGATTACCGTGCCGATGGCAACTATCTAAACGACGCCATAGAAAAACTGTTGGCAATGCCGCATTTTTGACAGTATTCGAGTACTAAATAGAAATGTGAACTATAATGTTTTAGAAACTATTTTTTGATACTAACTACTACCTTATAAACGGCCTGTAGAATATCGAGACATAACGTATTCATTTTAATTCATGGTAGAAAAATCCTGGTAGCCGCACCAACACATCTGGTGGTACAATGAACTGTCAAAAACTTTTTTGAACTCGAAAATTTGAATTAAAAATTATTTAAAATTGTTCAAACTACTGAAAAACACAAATCATAATCACCTTTGACTAACATTGTTTAAGAAAACCTTCATTTACATTTGCAGATTTTTTTTTAAATATTTTTGATATATCTATGTTCGCAAGTACTGTTGCATCTACCTATATGCTTCTCCGTGGTTTAATTATTTGCACACGACTTTGCAAAGTTCACACTCCAGAGGCTCAATTCTTGTTCCATAAAAATGTAAAATGAAAAATTTACAATGAAAAGTAATGTTAAATATAATTTTTTATAAGGGAAATATTTGTGTACCCTCGACTATATGATGCAATGGCCGTCATACACAACGCTGGCCATTTTTCAAATTTCCATTTCCCGAAATAAACAGGCATAAAGTTAGTCGGCCACCATATACACATTAAGTGAAAGCTCCCTAATACAATTAATGTTGGCGCCCAACAAAAGTCTTATTCTCTTTCTTTGACATTTACCGCCGCCATATACACTTTCAGTGGAAGTTCCCTAATACAATTGATGTTGGCGCCCAACAAAAGTCTCATTCTCTTTGTTAGACATTTAATTATAATTATTGTTGGCAATACTGCTTCTAGTGTGCAAAATTTCCTTCATTAATATTGGCGCCCAATCATAAAAGCCCTTTTAATGCAATATCATCTATATTATTTGATATGGCCAAAACGTGTCTCATCGAAATAACGGTTTTATACCATGGGTCTCTTTGGACCAAATCCGTTTCAGGACATTTGGAGCCGATCTAGCAATGTCCGTCCGTACGTCCGTCTGTCCGTCTGTCTGTATCTGGATGACTGGTGAGCACGATAACTCTCGAAGGTATTTGATCCAAAGTTGGTACATCGTAATATTATTGTCAAATTTTGATCGAGTTCGGAGATGGACAATATCGGTCCATTCCTTCTGGTACCTCCCCCACAAAATGTCAACATTTTCAAAGAAAATAATTTACTGCACAGAAAGTGAAAGGACAATCCGATTTTGTCCAATTTTGCAAATCTGAGTATTTTCATTAGTGCTAGGTCAGGTGCGAAAATCGACAATATCGGTCCACTCCATCAAGAACCTCCCCACGAAAGGTAAAAATCTTGAATATTCATGAAGCCCATAAAACGTGAAATTAATATCCGATTCCATTCAGACTTGGCACATCTCAATCTTTTTATCAATACAAGATCTGCCATAAATATGGTAGAGATGGGACCATTTCTTCTGGGACCACCCCAAAAAGGGTCGACGTTTTGTATAACTAAAACGATCATAAAATTCGAAATAAGCATCTGGTTTTCTTCAAATTACACATATCACAATATTTTTATTAAGCCAAGGACTGGTGTGAAGATGGAATATATCGGACCACTCATTCTGGTACCTCCCCCACAAAGGGTAAAAATGTTGAATATTCATGAAGCCCTTAAAACGCGAAATTAACATCCGATTCTATTCAGAGTTGGCCCCTCACAATATTTTCATCAACACAAGGTCTGTTATAAAGATGAGACCATTCCTTCTGGTACCTCCCACACAAAGGGTCGAAGTTTTGAATAACTAAAAACGATCATAAAATCCGAAATAAGCATCTGGTTTTCTTCAAATTACACATAACACAATATTTTTATTAACCAAAGGTCTGGGGTGATAATGGGATATATCGGTTTACTCCTACAGGTACCTCCCCCACAAAGGGTTAAAATTTTGAATATTCATGAAGCTCATGAAACGCGAAATTAACATCCGATTCAATTCAGACTTAGCATATCTTAATATTTTCATCAACACAAGATCTGTTATAAAGATGGTAGAGATCGGATCATACCTTCTGGTACCTCCCACACAAAGGGTCAAAGTTTTTAATAACCAAAACGATCATAAATGAAAATGGGATATATAGGTCTACTCCTTCAGGTACCTCCACCGCAAAGGGTCAACATTTTGAATATCCATGAAGATTTGGTACATCTTAATATTTCCATCAACACAAGATCTGTTATAAAGATGATAGAGATCGGATCATACCTTCTGGTACCTCCCATACAAAGGGTCAAAGTTTTTAATAACCAAAATGGTCATAAAATATGGAATAGGCTTCCGGTTCTCTTTATATTTCACACATCCCATTATTTCTACTAAAAAAAGATCTGCTGTGAAGATAGAATGTATCGGTCCACTCCATCAAGTACCTCCCCCACAAAGGGTAAAAATTTTGAATATCCATGAAGCTCACAGAGACGTGGACCTGCATAGACAATTTTCAGTCGCAGACTGCAGTGCCCATTACCAACATGAAATACGAAATTTGAAAGAATTCCGGAAAATAATGTATCTAAAGTCATCAGAATACCGAATATCGGAATGTACAGAATAAAGGAAGGTATCGAAGGCAATACGAAGACCTGGACCTGCATATACAATTTTCTGTCCTTCTGGTACCTCCCACACAAAGGATCAAAGTTTTAAATCACAAAAACGATCATAAAATCCGAAATAGGATTCCAGTTCTCTTTATATTTCACACATCCCATTATTTCTACTAGAAAAATATCTTCTGTGAAGATGGAATATATCGGTCCACTCCATTAAGTACCTCCCCACAAAGGGTACACATTTTGAATATCCATGAAGCTCACAAAGACGTGGACCTGCATAGACAATTTTCAGTCGTAGACTGTAGTACCCATTACCAACTTGAAATACGAAATTTGAAAGAATTCCGGTAAATAATGTATCTAAAATCATCAAAATACCGAATATAGGAAGGTACAGAATAAAGGAAGGTACCGACGGCAATACGAAGACCTGGACCTGCATACACAATTTTCTGTCCTTCTGGTACCTCCCACACAAAGGATCAAAGTTTTAAATAACAAAAACGATCATAAAATCTGAAATAGGCTTCCAATTCTCTTTAAATTTCACACATCCCATTATTTCTACTAAAAAAGATCTGCTGTGAAAAGAATATATCGGTCCACTCCATTAAGTACCTCCCCCACAAAGGGTAAACATTTTGAATATCCATGAAGCTCACAAAGACGTGGACCTGAATAGACTGAAGTAAAAATACGAAATTTGAAACAATTCCGGTAAATAATGTATCTAAAATCATCAAAATACCGAATATAGGACGGTACCGATATATGGGAGATATACGAAGACCTGGACCTGCATAGACGATTTTCTGTCACACACTGAAGTACCCATTAACAACTTCAAATACGAAATTTCAAAAAAAAAAAAAAATTCGGTGAATATTCTACCTAAAATCGTAAAAATACCGAATATAGGGAGGTACTAATATGTGGGCCCTATATGAAGACCTGTACCTGCATTGACAATTTTCTGCCATAGACTTTAGTTCCCATTACGAACTCTAAATACGAAATTTGAAACAGCTCCGGTGAATAATGTCGCTGAAATCATCAAAATACCGAATATAGGGAGGGGGATAAACGAAGACCTGAACCTTCATAGACAATGTTCCGTTATAGACTGTAGCTCCCATTACGACCTCTAAATACGAAATTTTAAACAACTCTGGTGAATAATGTCGGCGAAAAACCATCAAAATGCCGAATATTGGGAGGTACCGTTATATGGGGGCCATACGATAGCGTGGACCGTTATAGCCCATCCTCGAACGTGACCTGCCTGCAGACAACACTCCCCATTTTTGTAGGGCTATTTGATTTTTAAACAAGAAACTTTCAAACCCTGGTAGTATATAATTTTATATGTACTGTACGACCAACAGACGATGTACTGTACAACCAATATACGCTATACTGTACAAAATTGCCATTTAATTACACCTAGTATATCCATATTGCTAGGCGACTTATTTTTAATAAAATATGTTGAGCCCAAAAAACAAAAACTGCATGCGTACAATTGTATATGTACTGTACAAACAAAATACTGTATGAAATTCTTTTTTTTTTTCGTCTTTTGTTCTATTTATTTATTTATTTTTTTTTTTTTTGATAAAATACCGCCAAACGTCAAACGCTTTATTTGTGACACTCATAGCTTCGCCCATCTCTGCACCGAAATATTTTCATTTTCTCATCAATTTTTATTTTTTTTTTGAAAAACTCAAAACTAATTTTAATTGCCATCCTAGGGTATTTAACGATGGCGTCAAATACTATGCGGACAAACCGAATATGGTTGTCAAGACCTTTTTGCGATTGGAACGAGACTTTGATATGCATGTCAAGTATTGCAAAACCGAACCGTTGGCTCAAGAATTTCTAACATCGAATCGAGAGGCTTTTACATTTTTTCAGGTAAATTTTTTTTCTATTTTAACCATTTTGAACGATTAAAATTAGTGCTCTGTTACAGAACCTGACAAGGTTTAAAAATTTTTTGATTTAAAAAAAAATTGTTAAAAATTTTAAATTCTTGCAGTTCTAGAACAGAGCAAAAAATAAACTGGAATTTGCCAGCTCACCGTGGCCGCAAACGTCATTAACCATTCACGGAAAACAAAAAAGACAAAACATAAAAATTTATTTTCAAAAATAGACATTTTATTTTGGGATATTTTTAAATAAATAACGCCTCCATTCACCTATTTTGATGGCGATGATGATGAAGGTGGTGGTGGTGATGATGATGATGCCACTGCTGCTAATGTTATTACTGCCGCCTTGAAGAAGATCAAGTGATGTTGGAGACTCATTTTCACTCCCACCACAGTTTCTGTCATACCTTAGGGGACATGGCTGCAGTGCCGGCCAGCCAACTCATTATACACCTGCATATTTTTTTGTTCTAGATTTTTTTTATTATTTTTTCTTTCTTCCTAATTTTGTATCTTTTTTCTTGTGGAAATTTTTGTTTGGCTGCCGGCTGAATGGAAAGGAGTTCAAGTTCATCGAATCACCTAAATTTTGAAATTTATTAGGTGTAATGTAAATTCAATTTGTGTTATTTACATTTCTTTTCTCAAAAATTAAGTGGAGGCCCTTTTCCCCTACATAAGTTGCCCTCAAGGCCATTGAAAAAGAAATGAGCCATAAATTATCCGCTTGACCTAGAGATTCGTATCCCCAAAAATGTGTGTTCGAATTTTATGTTCTTCCACTTTTGTGTTTTTTTAATTCGTTTTTAATTTAGTTTAAGAGTATCTGTTAGAGATTTTCCATCGCCCCTGTTGATAGTTGGAATTATCTTGTTGATATTGAAAGTTCATTGGAATATGTATTGAGTCGTTCCCTTCATTTCAATTCTCAACATTGAAAATAAACAAAACAAAAATTGATTGTTATTGTGTCAGTGATTAGCAGATGCCCTTCTATTCTGGCCACATCCATGAACTCTTTCAACGTGTCAGCTTTGGGGTCTACCTCTGCACTAGGGTGGATATTAGTGTGGGATACAAATTAATACAGATTTTTATAGTTTATAGGTTTTTTCTTTGACACCACTGCCCCATAGAGAAGTATTGGGCGCCACTTTGGCTAACTTTTTAAAAAACAATCTTTTTTTTATAGGTTTACCACTTCTGATACCTCCCCCACAAAGGGTCAAAATTTTGAATATCCATGAAGCTTATAAAGCGCGAAATTAACATCCGAATTCATTCAGACTTTTCGAACAATAATCTCAACACCAGATAGCATCAAAATATCGGGATTCTAGCTCAATCCTTTCACCCATTACCCAATTAATGTACACATTTCAAAAATCACCTCCATATACCAGAACCAGATACCAACGCTGAAAATTTCGGGATTCCAGCTCAATTCCTTCACCCCAATGTCAAATCTAATACCAAATTTAACTTTTCGTACAGAAATGGAATGCATTTCCAAATCTCAAACACAAACACCATGAGCAATCTAAATATCAAATTTAAGAATTTTATCTCTATCCCTTCACCCGATACCAAATTTAGTACCACATAGTACTGTTCGAAATTGCACCTATCCAAAACTACCTCAATATCTTAACCACAAACACCAACAGTGATATTTATATCAAATTTCATAATTTGCGCTTCATTCCTTCAACCAATACCACAATTAGTACCACTTAGTACTTTTCGTACAAATAAAGGATGCATTTTCAAACCACCGCCAAATCTCAAACACATATACCAACAGTTATCTGAATATCAATTTTCAGACTTTTATATATATTCCTTCAACCAAAACCACATTTAGTACAATTTACTTTTTACTTTTCGTACGATTATAGTACACATTTTCGAAACCACCACGAATTGTTTAAGAATCCATGCTAGAAGTTCTTTCTAAGCACATTACCTCCTGTACTCCCGATATTCGATATTTTGATGATTTAAGTGACATTATTCACTGGAATTGTTCAAATTTCGCATTTAAAGTTCGGAATCATTTCTACTGCCTATGACCTAAATTACTTATGCAGGACAACGTTTTCGTATAGCCCCCATATAACGGGTTTCTTTTGAGCCGTATTTGTTTTAAAGTTTTAAGTTTCTTCCAAATGGTGGAGGGTATAAAATGTTCGGTCCCGCCCAACTTAATGTTTTTATACCCTCCACCATACTATGGAAGGTATATTAACTTTGTCATTCCGTTTGTAACTCCTCGAAATACTCATGTCAGACCCAACAAAGTATATATATTCTTGATCAGCGTAAAATTCTAAGTCGATTTAGCAATGTCTGTCTGTCTGTCCGTCCGTCCGTCCGCCTGTCTGTCCGTCCGTCTGTTGTAATCCCGCTATCTTTCGAACGAACTGAGATAGATGACTAAAATTTTGCACACATTTTTATTTTTCCAGTAGGCAGGTTTAGTTCGTAAATGGGCCATGTAGGTCCACGTTTTCATATAGCCCCCATATAACGGTACCTCCCGATATTCGGTATTTCGATGATTTTAGCGACAGTATTCACCGGAATTGTTTCAAATTTGGTATTTGAAGTTCCAAATGGATACTACAGTCTAAGATAGAAAATTGTCTGTGCAAGTCCATGTCTTCGTATAGCCCCCATATAACGGTACCTACCGATATTCGGTATTTTGATGATTTTAGCGACCTTTTTCCCGGAAGTAATTTAAAATTTGGTATTTGAAGTTCAAAATGGATACTACACCCTCAGACAGAAAATTTTCTGTGTAGGTTCACGTCTTCGTATAGCCCCCACATAACGGTACCTCCCTATATTCGGTATTTTGATGATTTTAGCGACATTATTCACCGGAATTGTTTCAAAATTGGTATTTGAAGTTCGTTATGGGAACTACAGTCTGTGACAGAAAATTGTCTGTGCGGGTCCAGGTCTTCGTATAGGCCCCATATATCAGTACCTCCTTATATTCGGTATTTTGACGATTTTTGGTGCAATACCCACCGAAATTGTTTGAGATGTGGTATTTGAAGTTCGTAATGGATGCTACAGCCTGTAGCCGAAAATTGTCGATGCTGGTCCAAGTCTTCGAACAGCTCCGATATACCATATTTTGATGATTTTAGCTACATTATTCACCGTTTATTTCAAGTTTCGAATTTGAATATGGTATTGGCTTATGAGGCAGGTAAGTTCGTAAATGGGCCTGTAGATCCACGTTTTCATATAGCCCCCATATAACGGTACCTCCCGATATTCGGTATTTTGATGATTTTAGCGACATTATTCACCTGAATTGTTCCAAATTTGGCATTTGAAGTTCGAAATGGATACTACAGCCTGAGACAGGACATTGTCTGTGCAAGTCCATATCTTCGTATAGCCCCCACATGTAATGTAATGGTATCTCCCTATATTCGGGGCATTTTGATGATTTTAGCGACATTAGTAATCGGAATTGTTTCAAATTTGATATTTGAAGTTCCAAAGGGATATTACAGCCTGAGACAGAAAATTGCCTGTGCAAGTCCACGTCTTCGTATAGCCCCCATATAACGGTACCTCCCTATATTCGGCATTTTGATAATTTTAGCGTCATTATTCACCGTATTTATTACGTATTTAGAGTTCGTAATGAAACTACAGTCTGTGACAGGAAATTGTCTATGCAGGCCCAGGTCTTCGTATAGCTCCGATATAACGGTACCTCCCTCTGTACGATATTTTGAAGATTTTGGCTACATTATTCACCGTTTATTTCAGGTTTCGAATTTGAATATGGTAATCGCTTGTGACAAACAATGCCTATGTAGGTACACGTCGTACAGACCCTAATATAACGGCTATTTTCGGTATTTTTAATATGTTAACAGAATTTTTGGCGAATGTTACCTTTTTGAATATTTCCAAATTCGTTCTAAATGGTGGGGGGGGGGGGGTATTCAAAGTTCGACCCGGCCGAACTTACTGCTTTTTTACGTGTTTTCCATTAAATTATTTAAATTTGCTTGAAAACATCCCAAAGCCCCTATCCATCCTAATGTCTAACACACCGTTTATTTCCAACAACACCTTCAAAATTTTTTTATATCGTTCTGTTTATTTTTATATATCACATACTAAATATTTCTAGGCGGTCAATTGATTTGTTTTTGTTTCTTAATTTTCTCTATTAGTTTCCTATTTATTCTGGAAAACTCCATATTGACTAAAAATATTTTCCTAATAAAATTAATAAACAAATAAAAGCTCCCCATTTAGGGGAGGACAAAATGTTCACAGATTGTAACTTTCCCATCGCCACAATTGTTTCTCCATTCCAGACATCATTGGTTTAATTTGGAAAGATTTATTTGAATTCTTTTGCATTTTTTAGAAGATCTGCAGTTAGGTATGACGTCTGTCAGTACGTCCCATCTGTTTTTGAATAGAGAAAATTTAGGGAAACATTAGTGAAAACAACAGAGGACAGAGAAAAGCTTTCATTTCCGTTGGTAATGCGTAAACAATTCGTTTTGGCGATCATTCTTCGTTCGTTCGCTCGCAATGCCACTGAGATGCGTTGAAAACTTTGCGATTGGCAAAAAAACATTTCAGAATGAGCGAACTTTTTTTTGGGGGGATCTAAAGAGCTTTTTGAGAGCACGATAAATTTGAAAAAAAGTATTTTCATAATTATTGACGAAGACATTATGTGCGTTTGTGTGAGTGGGGGGGATTATTCATGTGCCAATGCGAGGAGGAGTGGAGGAGGTCGGACGGGTTGAATGTTTGTTGTATGATATGAACACATGCCACACACAACACTTTATAGATACATGTACATACATATGTATAGTGTGGTACATATAGCCTCTCATATATGTATGCATGAGGTTGATTATTTGAAAATTCATTGCGGTCAACCCAATTTGTATTGGACTAAACAACCAAAAATATTGTAAT